TTTTTTGTATTTAATTATTGTCGTGTGAATTTTTACATTTCCATTGTTTTCTCATAACAGGTGAACGATAGAGATATCTTCTCATTCTCAGAATGCTTCTTCTCACTCGCGTATTGTGGGGATTGCACAAATCCAGTTAGTAGGATGGTGCCAGTTACCATTAAGGACCACATTAGGCTAACTACTGATTGAATTCGACATAGGAAGCTATAGAAATTAATTAGGGATGATCACAAGTTGGACTTGAACTTGTAACATCTACTTTTGGAACCAACGAACATATCAATTGGGCTAGAACTGTTTGGCATATTTGTATTAGTTAATTGATACTCAAAATAACAAAATATGCCAATATAAATTAACGTTATTCCAAACAAATCTTAAACGATTCTTTGTCCCACAACAATATCCATGAAGTTGGATAACATAGCCAGAACATGACTAAATTAATCAGGACATTATTCAAACTAAGAACTCAAGAAAAAAAAAAGGTTGCGTCATATTAAGCGGGAACTTTCTCTTGGAGAAATGCGGTGATCATCGCCAAAGCTCTTCTAGGCTGAAAAAGTGGAACCAGGTGTCCTGCCCCTCTTACAGTTGCTAGTGTCAATCCTTCATATTGCTCTACATAACCTCCAACCTGACACCATATACCATCAATTCATTCTCCATTCTCTGAATCAGACTCTCTAATCATTTTTAAGTAAGTAACACATGTTTGAAGGCTTAGGATATAATTCCTATTAAACATTTATTTGTGTCTTAATCCATCTGAATTTGCAATACAAAACGAATATTACCTCATCATCTTGGTACCATGCTTTCCATCTACTCTTCACTGGGAGTTCAAGCATCTTGATGAAATATCTAGTATCAGTTACTGGAACCACTGCATCTAAATCACCACTTTAAGAAAACAATACATTTTAGTTTGGATTTTAGTTTTTATTTTAATTTAAACAAGTAAAATGTCATTTAACCAGAAACTGTATGTCTGCACTATGCATATCATTTCACAAGTTGCATTACCTGTACATCCATATATTTAACTTCGCTCCAATAAGCTTTTTGATTGTTGGTAAGATTGTCTTTGGGCTGTCATTCCACTTGAGAAAACTGTATATACAAGAATCAAATAAAATGATAGGAGTGTTTAAGAAAATAAAAAGAGTAATGCTATGTCTTCCAACACATTTTAAGCCAAGCCTTCAATAATAATTTTTCTTTTTGAAGAAAATTAACACTTATGATAGTATTCTGTAAAACCATTCTGACTTGCCTGCAAGGTTCCCATTTAATAATATTTGCATGGAGAGCCTTCTGTACCTCTGGAATGTTTAGGTAGGTCTCCATATAGTGATCCAAGCAAGGATCAAAACTACCAGGCTAATATAATTCCGAAAAGAAGGAAACATTTAGATAATATTATATTGATCAGCAATTTTTTTTTTCCTGATAAAAGAAAGATAAAAAAAAAAATCAATAAAATTAGGTGTAGTAGTGGTCTTACGTAAGTTGCAGCCTTGGCTTGTCCTGGAGAAGCATGGCAAAGTGGAGAATAGATGTTGTATCCACTAATATTGCCAATTTCATTAAACGCCATTTCATAAGCTTGATCGCATTTATTAGAGGCACTACGATTTGAAAAATTGCAGTATCTTTGTATGTCTGAGTATGTTTCGTCTGAGAAAAGTGCATGGCTCCAAAGATATTCAATAGTACCCTTTGCATTTGCTATGTAGTCGACAAAGGCATTTCCAATCTACAAGAGGGGACGATTATCATCCACGAGCTTATGAAATTTATAATGATAGAATTAGTCGAAATAATGTTATTTAGAGTCTGACATTTTTAAAAAAATTCATGTAATTAGGTTATTATATTTTGATAAGTTAGAAAATTCTGGTAATAGGATAGCCAGATTCATATTCATACTTGCATGAGAAATACACGAAAGCAAACTTAAATGTAGCTAAATTTATAAAATTTAACATGCTTGCATAGTATTTAGCCCCTTATTTCATCGTTAAAATATTCCTCTGCCTCCAAATTCTAACAACTTAAATGGACAAACTTGCAGATGAAAATTCAAACTGATTAAGTGTTGAGAATTGAACCTTATTTAAGGTCATATTAGTAAAATGGGAATATTGAAAAAATCTTGGGGTTTATTTTTAAAATATTGTAATATCCTATTTCA